CTCCGTGCCATACTCCATTCATGATGGGTTCTTGTTTCGTGATAACCGTTTGTGTATTCCAGATTGCAGCCTCCGACTCCAGTTAATCGCCAAACTACATAATGAAGGACATATTGGACGTGATCGTACACTCCATTTAATCTCGCTCTCTTACTTTTGGCCTTCTCTTCGACGCGATGTCGTCCGTTTTGTAGAACATTGTGTAACTTGTCAAACTTCTAAAGGGCAAGCTACTAACGCCGGTGTGTATCTCCCTTTACCCGTTCCTACACAGCTGTGGACAGAAATCAGTATGGACTTTGTCATGGGTCTTCCTCGAACGCAAAAAGGTTATGACTCAATATTTGTCGTTGTTGATCGCTTCTCCAAAATGGTTCACTTTATACCTTGCAAGAAAACAACTGATGCTGTTCAGGTCGCCATTTTATTTTTTTGAGAGATATATCGGCTCCATGGCCTTCCGTTATCGATTGTGTCTGATCGAGATTCTCGGTTCTTTGGACACTTTTGGCGTTCTTTATGGAAATTTCTTGACACGAGCCTTGATATGAGTTCTGCTTACCATCCTCAAACCGATAGACAAACAAAAGTCGTAAATAGTTCCCTAGGTAATCTTTTACAATGTTTGGTCGGCTCTTCTATCAAGTCATGGGATTCCAAGGTCCCACAAGCGGAATTCGCGCATAACCATGCCCTTAACAGAAGTACAGGGTTTAGTCTGTTCCACATCATCTATGGTACTATACCACGCGACCACCTGACCTTTCTTCTCTCTCTGATCGTACTCGCCTTCATGGTGGAGCTGAAGCCTTTGTGGACACCATCGTTGATACACATGCTCAAGCAAAAGCGAATTTGGAGACTTCTGTCGCTAAGTACAAAAGTGCGGCTGGTTCTCATCGACGACGTCTGGTCTTCGAAGTGGGCGATCTTGTTTGGGTAGTTCTTACTCGTGATCATATGCCTTCACACGCCTACAACAAACTCAAAGCTAAGAAGATCGGTCCTGTCCAAGTTATAGAACGCATCAATGATAATGCTTATCGCCTTCAACTTCCTGCGGATATCAATACTTCTGAAGTGTTCAATGTGAAATACCTTACCCATTACTTTCCACCGGATCAGGTTCCAGATTCTAGGTCGAATCCTTCTCACCCCGGGAGACCTGATGCAGCAGCATCTCCACCGTCATCACCTTAGCCGTCTTTTACGTCTTTCCTTTTATTTGATTTCTCTTTACTTCCTTTTTAGATATTTCTTGTTGTTTACGTTTTCCTTTTTAGAATAGGAATAATCTCTCCAAGTCGGTTGTGACTTTGAGAATGATTCGCTATATAAAGGGCACTAGCCTTGGCTTTAAGATTCAGAATTTGATTAATAAAAAAACAGAGAGCTTTCTCTTTTCCTTGTTTATCGATTTGATTCAATTCATCGTTGCAAGAAGCAGGTCTCTAGAGCGGTAATAACCCCTAGATTGAGCTGTCCCTGTTCTTACCCGCCATCACAAAGCCTCCCAAAACCACACAGTCACCGTACTATCAAAACTCTCGAGACACCGGTCTTGACGTAGATTCACCCAAATAAAACGAACGTGAGCCCATTATTATTTTTGATTGAGAGAAAACACCTATAACAGAAAAAAACGTGAGTCGAAGAAGAAGCCATCGGAGAGATAGGGTAAAGAGAATTCTCAAATTGATTTTGAAATGCTTCTATTTTACTTCGTACTAGGTGATGGGTGCAGGCTACAAAATATTTTATATATTAAATATATAATTAATATTATATATTGAAGATGCTTTATTTTATATGATTAATTATGTATTAATAATAACATTATATAAATATTTAATAATAAAATAAGAATAAATTAAATAAAAATATTATAGATTTCAATAGTAATTGAAGATTAAAAAAAATATTAATCCAGATTTTTTAAATTTTAATGGGTATTACCATCACTACTTATCTTAAGAGCGGTGATGTGGTTGGTACGCATGAATGTGTCACATATAGAAATTCTTTTGATAAATATAAATTGATTAATTACTAAAACTAAAATTGGACTCTAGTCGAGATTACGAAAATGTATGCACGACAAGTTTGCATGCAACTTTGATTTTTGCACAACTAATATTTATATCTACATGTATATTTGTAAAAAATTAAAGTATAACTTTTATGTGTTAAAAGAAAATAGCAAAACATATGTTTTGTAATATATATTTTTATAATGTATGATTGATTTTTTAAATAAAAAATATGTATATTTATGCATGTAGGTATGAGTTATAAATAAGTGAATTGTAATATTTAAGTGTTGGTTAGTTTTTCTGATATTTTCCGCAAACGTTATTATTTTACACGAAATAGTTTTTGGAGTTTAACAACAATCACAAAAACCGTTTCTATCGTTTTGTATTTAATCAAAATTTCTTATTTTTCAGCGTTTTGTGATATATGGTTTCTAAATAAAAATTATAATAAAAATTTATTATAAAATTTGTGAGTTCTTATTTTATAAAATTCTCTGGTAGCTCTCCGCTCATCTCTTTGTCAAATTTTTTATAGCCCGCAATCGCTCGCTTCCATAAACTCTCTGTAACCGTAATGATTAAACCAGTCGGATCCTAAACTTATATATGTATAATTGAAGGTGTAAAATAATATATTTAATATTTAATTGTTATATTAAAAAATAAGAGTTCTTGTGTTCCTAACTTTAATATATGTATTATTCTTATATATAATGTGTAAAAACTCAAGTTCGACTTCTAAAAGAAAACTAGGGTTTGTGGGTTTAAAGAGAAATCTTTATTAAATTAAGCCGGAGCTTGAGATACAAGAGAGTTTAGGTCGTCGGAATAAAAACGCCGACCTAGACTTTTAGAGGAAAGTAAATCGAGAGCTAAGAACAATTGGGTTGCTTAGTTTGCTCTAAGTCTCGAGAAGTGATTTTTTGGATCCTCTGAGAAGTCGAGACTTCTCATATTTATAGCCGATCAGGTCGGTCTTCTATGTCGGTTCGGAATAGGAAAGTTTCTTTGCCGATAAAACTAAACTTCCGTTTTTTCCCGGGTTCGTCCGATAAATGGAAGATTTCCATTTATTTAGCCGACCTGAGCCTTGCGAAGTGGGCCGACCAGAATTCATATCGGACTTGTAGAGATGGTACGAATCTCATCTCTAACATAATGGATCATAATACATACAAAATTTGATTCGTGAAATAATGTTGAAAAAATGTTGAAAAAATATATGCATGAAAGAATAAATATGTGTAAGATAATATTTTAAAATATTTTAAAATAAAAACATAAAATCGATCAAACCTATTCTTTTTTTTTGTCCTCTTTGACTCATATTTGGTTTTTTAGCCTCAAATAATATATTAAACAATAAGATCATCTCCAATGTATTTTTCTATTTTTTTCCTCTAAAATATAGATGGATTTCTCTCCAACCTATTTCTATTTTAAAGGAAAAAAGAAAGATTGTTACTTTTTTCTCCAATTATAGAAGAAAAAATAACATTACTATTTTTTTTCTAAATTAGAAGATTTAAAATAAATGTGGGTTAAAGATGCTTTAAACCAAAGACATAACCTGAGATTTTTACAGAAAACCAAAGTCGTAAAGAATCATTTTTACTTTTACTTCTACTTCTTATTTATATGTTTATTTATATCAAAAAAAATTATAATAAACATTTGTTATAAAATTCTCTGGTAGCTCTCCACTCATCTCTTTGTCCAATATTGAGGGATTGGTTTGATGAAAAAAAAAATTATTATGGTTGGTCTGCACGCATGTGTCCATTATAAAATTTGAGCCACACGTGCGTTTATTATAAACTTTATTTCTTAAAATTTTTAAATAACTCTGTAAAATAAAGTGTGAGTGTTACAAAAAAAAAAACAGTAGAGATTTATTTTTATTTTTACTTATACTTTTTAGTCATATTTGCTTTTTCTAATTTATAATTTACTTTTTCATCTCGTAATATTGCTTTTTATTTTTGATCTCAAATTCTCGATCTACAATGAGACTGTATATGAGTATGATATAAACTTTCTATTTATCTAAAAATGGTAAGAGATAAAATGAGATGGTAAAGTAAGCTACCTAAATTCCAAAAAACAATAATATAAAAATATTAGAAAATTATATATAAATAATAATATATCATACTCCTAACATTATTAGTATATAGTGTATATACTATCTTATTGGATAGTCCATTATTATTTTTCTATATAAAAATACAAAATATATATTGGTTGTAAAAATTTTGTGATCATATTTTATGCAATTTAATATATCTTGTAAAAAGAAATTAAAATCATAGTAATTATTATTTTTTGTAAATTAAATTTATTATTTTTAATATTATAATCTAGTGTATTTATGTTATAATTTTATAATTTATTTAATTATGATTTAACTAATCAAAACATTTTATTTATTTTAGAAAATTTGCTATATCACATTTCCATATCACCATTAATTTATATTAATTTTTGCTAAGATAATAATACATCAGATTTTTCATACTAATATAGATATTTGAATTTTGATTGGTTGATTTGTTTGGTTTCGGTAATTATTACATGGTCTCGACTACACATTGTAAAAAACAAAAAAAAGTGTTATAGGAAGGATAAAACGTTCTGTAGAGAGAGACGATAGACCAAATTGCTCAATTTTGTTTTGTATATTTTGCAAAACCAGTAAGTAATAAATCTTTTTTTATGGGCACAATTTTGTTCTCATCCAAACGGCAACACCTTTTAATTTACACCTAATCTCTTTTAACTTCAACAACCAAAGTGACTGACTGTAAACAGAAACAAGAACGACGTAACACACAGCATCCTAACCGAAAATCAAACCCAACCAGACTTAAGCAAATCTGAGGTATTTTTGTCAGAAGAGAGTAAGAAAAAAAACACAGAACATTAAAGAATGACAAAGCAAGATGCAGAAATCTAAGCTTGTGCTTAAGATATCATAGCTTCTGCGTGATAGCTTTCAAGATCCTTGTCTAATTCTTCAGCAGACTTCTCCACTGGCTTCTTTCCTCCTCGGCCGCCGCTTTTACTCCCTCTACCACCACCACCGCCTTGGCCTCTGCCTCTACCACGAAACCCGCCTCGACCGCCTCTCACAACACCTCCTTGTTGGTTTTGGCTGCCACTAATAGAACATATGATAAGATTAGAACATATGTATACGATACGCATTACTTTAAATGAAACCGAGCTCAAGACTCTTTGGAACACTTACATAGGAAGGCGTCTCACAGAGGAAGCTGCACTTCTTCCTCCTCTTCCTCTCCCGCCTCTAAACCCTTGTCTGTAACAATCAATGATCATCAAAAGGTTAATAACACATTTAGGTTACTCTCTTTGTAAATGGAACGGCCAAGAAAATGGTTAACATACCCAATGGAAACAGTCCTCTTCATCCTCCCGTTCAATCCAGTTACGTTGAAACGAGCTGAAGCAGGAGCAACCACTGTGTTTCCACCCTGAATCTCCAGTTTCATAGACCTTCCATCCAACAGTACATTGTTGTATCTCTTCATAGCTTGAAATGCATCACTTCTCCTCATATACACAACTTCAGCCGAACCCTGTATCACATCACCAACGACGGTAAGTAACAGATAAAACCAGAGCATAAGAAAGAAAACAGGAGTTAAAAGACTTAGGTTAGAACTTACATTTGGACGACCGTTTTGGTCAAAGTGAATTGCATATCTTTTCATCTCTCCTATCTCGCCAAAGAGTTCCTAGATCCCATAGTACAAAACTAGTTTAAGGATTCTCCCCGTAGAACCAAAACAACAAAGCAGTGGAAGCAGAGAAGTCAGACTATATACCCTTATATCTTCATTTGTCACTCCCTGATCAAGGTTGGTAACATGAACCGTGGTTCCGACTTCAACTCCTGATACCTCAACGGCTCTCAGGCTTTCTTCGAACAAATCAGTCTGCCATGGCAAGCTCCTCTTCCTGCGGGCAAGCTATTCAGTAGAACAGATAAAGTCAGCCAAAAGCGTCTGTAGAATCTTGAAGCCATATCAATCAACAAAACTCTGGAAAGACGAAGAAACCACCCATTTGTCTGAAAGTACTAAACCAGTCAAAGGAAAGGGCTCCAGGAAGAAGTAGTGAAGGAGAAAACCAAATGAAATGGACCCAAACAAGCAACTTCATATGAATCAAACTGGTGCTATATCAGTCAGTCTCTGATGCCAAAAACAAAGTCCTTGGAGAATCAAAAACTGAGACTGCCGTCACACTCCGAAGAAATTCCAGATGTAGCAAGAGCCCCATCGTGAACTTAATGTCTATTGCAAATACCCCACTTAAAAGGGATAAGCCATCCATATATGATATCTACTGTTAAAGTGAAATTGCTGAAATTCCCCCCTAAACACCACCAGACTGCACATATTTGCAGGTTTTTTTTTCCCATTTCCCGTAATTAACTTTTTTGTCATCACATCAGAGAACCCTATGTGGACTACTTAGCTAAACGGAGCTCTTCAGTAAACGTACAGTGAGTGACTATCAACCAAAAACTTCTGCACATCTATGCGTGCCTGTCGAAGTCGAACCATATAAACCACTAAAAACACCAAAATTGCAGGACTACGAAGAGGCTTCTGTAAGAGAAAACCGCCTCCATAAACTACAAGATGTTTGAAGATCCTTGTAATCTGTGACTATCCTCCAATATGAAGTTTTGAATGCTAAGAGTGCGTCATCATCAGAAGCAACGGTTTATGCATGTATGAGAAAAAACGAACCCTCCATCTTTCAGATTTTAGCACGAATCAGAATTGCTTCAGTAATTGGGTGATACGGTGTCAAAGCAGAAACTCAGTTTTTCCAATCAAGCACAGAGAACATCGCAGATTTTCGAGCTTGCCTTGTTTATCGAGAAGGATGATGGCCGAGCGTTAACAGCGAGAGGACCTTTGCGAACTCCTCTTCCAGCTCCGGGAAAACCATTTGCTCCACGACCACGGCGGGATACTCCTTTAGCACCAGACGTTGCAGCGGCCTTGCTCTTCTTCTTGGAAATTTCAGCAGCCTTACTCTTCTTGACCATATCATCAAGAGACATATCCAATGAATCCGACATCTTCACTCCAATATAATCAAACTGGTCTATTCAGAAACCTGAAATAATTAGGGTAACACAAATAAAAACTAGTTAACACCAACACAATGATTAAGAAACGAACAAGACGATCCAAGGTATATTTTCATCGCACACAAATTAGCGAAATATAAAATTCAAATCTCACATACACAAATACTAGTTTTATCGCACAAATCTACAAGATTCAAGTCTCACATACACAAATCAAAGATCTAACCGGTGAATTTTAAGGTAGAACATGAGAAAATAACTTAATCCGGGAAAGGGGAATCATATTTACAGCTCGATATCAGATATATAGAAAATATTAATCAAGAGCCCTTGAAACACAGGAAATCACAAATTGATGTAAACTTATAATCGATGGCGTCTCGAAGCCCTAGATCGATAGATCTACAGACCTAAACAGAGGCTAGACCTAGATTATTAAGCGAAGGCGAGAGAAGAATCGAAATCGATCAGATTCATAAATTATAAGCGATTTTATGAAAAGCAGATGCTACATGGTACACAAATCCTTATCTCGATGAACAATTCGCAGAACGAGAAAAAGAAGAAGAATCGATAATTTACCAGATTACGAACAAAGGCAGATCGGAGAAGAAGATCGAGAGGTCGGCTAGGGTTCTTAGAGAGCTCGTATGTGAAATTAGGGATTTTACAAAGGAAAGGGGGGGAAAACAGCTGTAATTTTCACGGTTTGAGGGAGAGGAAGAGGTGTTTAAATAGGTAAGGTCAACGAAGCAATTTTGTGAATAGATTTGTTTCTGGGGTGTTTTACGTCTTTTATGTTTAGATATTAACGAAAAGTAAGGTCGGCGAAAAAAAGGATGCCAGCTACGTGTTTAGTTAAAGAAAAATGTAAAATTAGGACAAGACTTAATGAGAATTTCAAAATCACTCCTAATAAGATAAGAGCTATGAATAATAATAATATTTATAAAAATCTGTTATTAAGGAAATTTGAAAATTAAAATTTTTCTGTTTATCTTTTTTTTATATGATATACAGAAAAAAAAAAAAATTAAAACTAAAATTTTCTTATATCTTTTTTTGTAGTCAATGATATCTTTGTAGTGCTACCATATATGAGTCTCTAAGTTCTAACTCCTTTAAATTTGTTACCATAAATCATATTTCTATGATATGAGTTCTATAACACCTTTAATTTTTTAATTTTTTATACTTTGGCAATTATCCTATGTGATGTTAGCATAATATTTTGAAATTACATATGGTATCTTATGTAAGTCGATTGATTTTAATATAGATCTGTTCAAATTTTTATAAAAAAAAATTGGCTTGTTTTAGAGTGCTGCATTGGCCACAAGTTACTTGTATTTATGTCAAAATAATAATAATAATATAAGATTTTAGGTTCCTAATTAATATATGTAAATCCTTAAAATGTTTTGTTCAGAAAAATTGTGCCAACTTTTTCTCTTGTCACTTGTATTTTCCTATTATTGAAATTAGATAAAAAGGAGAGATAAATTGACAACATTCGTAAGCCTATATTGCCTAAATTAAGATATTGGTTGGACTTAAATTCGAGAAAAAATATCATCGAGTATTGCAGCAAAACTCTTATAGTACTCCAATACTTTAGTTGCATCTCCATCTCTTGCTGCATAATCCATCTGCAAATGTCAATTAAAAGTTAACAACTTAATAAATGAGTGTATTATGTAATTAGAGCTAAATGAAGAAATGTACCTTTGTGATTGCATTGAAGAGTGTTGAATACAGAGTCCTAATAAGAGGTCTATCTTTTGGAGGCTTTGCTTGGATGATTAGATACAAATCTTGCTTCATATTTGATGCACTTCTTCTTATCTCTTTCCCTCCTTCTTTCCACCTCTTACTTTTTATCATTATCTCTTTTATTTCCTTTATATTTTCTGCGTTTTTCCTTAATCCTTGCTATAATTTATATCCAGAAAATTTATCAAACGATATCCAACATGCATAATAATTTATCAAACTATATGTATTCATTTGTAGCTGCAAACTTAGTAGTCATATAACCTGAATAATCCAAACTAATTAACTGTTTGAACACAAAGAAATCAATCTTTATAAACCCAAACCCGAATTGTTAAACATTTGTATTTAGTGGCACGTGTGAAAAATATTATATCTTCTAACAAAAGCTTTCTTGTCATCCTACTTTGGATCACTTGATCAAAATCCGAATAATCCGAAGAAAATTTTGTAAAACCAAACCTTGTGACTATTGAATTTACGTAAACTCATAGAGAGCATTCGTAATTTTTTAAATCAACGTCGGCTTGAAAATTTTACTACAGTGAAATAGTTCAACACTAATAAAAAGACAAAGAGACCAAAGTGTAACTAAAATTAAAGAGATAAAGTAGATTATAGCTACCGGACCTGAGCAATCTCGACCGTGCGTTCGGGCTCGGGTTGTGGCGCGATAAAGTTGAAAATATCAGCGGCGTTTGCAGAGGAAGAACGTTTGCGATCAAGAAAGAACAATTGAGGGATTAGTGTTCCTGAGATTGAGAGAAGAACGTCTCTTCGTACTCTTCTTGATGAATCAATTGAGATTGTAAAGATAGAATCCTCTGTTTCAAGTGGAGGGTTTGGATTGTGGAAAGGAGTTAAATGCGTTGGTGGCTTTGAGAGTGCCATTGTCTTTGCGTTTGAGTGAGCAGAAGAGAAAGAGCAAATCAAGAATGTAGAACAGTAGAAGAGAAGAAGATAATGTTGAGGCTAAAAGTGAAGGAACATCAATTTAACGGTTGTTGTCAAAAATGATATTTTTGCAAATTCAATAACAAAATAAAAATGCTACATCATTTATGTAAAAGCCTCTAAAATGTTCTACTTTGAAAAAAATTAAAGAAAATGTATACATTTTGGTAAAATTGTTGATGATCAACTCTATGTATCTGTGGCCATGTAAATTTGTAAATAAATCAGAATTTTATCTAGATGTTCATATATAATAATTCAGAAAATATGTATATATAAACTTCAGAAATACATTTTGGTAATATTGTTGCTGATTAACTATATGAATCTGTGGCCATGTGAATTTGTAAATAAATCAGAATTTTATATAGATGTTCATATATAATAATTCAGAAAATATGTATATATAAACTGCAGAAATACAAAATAATTATGAAACTAAATTATTATTAACTCATAAATCGTATACAAATTTCTAAAATAGTTATCATGATTAAGTTATAACAAATTACCAACAGTATAATTTCATTTTCCAGACTCCAACAAATCTAAATTTCTGGATCGGATCTCATATAACTTTCCCATCCGTAGTTACATATTTCATATGATTTCTTTTTTTTTGGTTAACTAAATTTATATTAACTCTAACATTATCTACAAACTTTATATGCTTTTACATGAGAAAAACAACCTTTTTCAGATTTCGTCATCGTCACAGTCTTCTCCATCGTCATCATCATTTGGTTTCTCCAAGTTCATCATAAACCTAAGCGAGTCTCCTTCTTCTACTTCCCACTGCTTCTTCAGCGCAGTGATCGCTCTCGATGCAGCCGCTGCAATCGCCGGGTTACTGTCTTCAGCGAGTCTCTGTCACCGATGGACACAGAATGGTCATCAAAATTTGCAAGAACGGTCATCAAGATATGCAAGAATGGTCATCAAGATATGCAAGAACAGTCATCAAGATCAAGACTTGCAAGAACGGTCCTCAAGATCAAAATTTGCTAGAACGGTCATCAAGATCAAGATTTGCAGGAATGGTCATCAAGATCAAGATTTGTATTTCTCTTATTACCTGTAATGCTCCCATGCCTGCATTTCCCAATGTCCACATCGACGGTGCAGCTGCTAATGCGTTAGCCAACGCTTTTCTATACCAAGAATGACAAAAACAGAGAGACCCAGAATCAAATCATTGACCAAAACGATGAAATACTCAGATGATCTAATGAAAAAATCAAAATAGTTATTGCAGAATCTCTCTCGACTAGATTATGTCATGAGTTTGGAATTGTTCTGTGAATCAAATTTAGTATGCAATGCTACTATATTGAGTGTTGGCCTCAACTTACTCTCGGAACCTAAACGAATGTAACAAAGAAGTCACCGAAGAAAGTTGTTAAAAGACGTGGCTTTTACCTTGTATTAACGTCTGGAGAGCTTGAGCATTCAGCCAAGAGAGATGCACTACTTTTACCATCCATTGCATCAAGATCGATCAGGGTCGTGACTAACAACTCAAGCTGTTAAAACCAATCAAACACATATTTTTGCGAATAAGATAATAGTTTTTAACAAAAAGATCACAAGTTATCATTGATCTTGGACTCACCTCTTCAGGGTCAGTGTAGTCGATTCCATCGGCTTCTGAGAGCGCTGATGCCATACTTTTGTAAGCTTCCTGTTTCAAACATCAAAAAGATATCATCAGAGAGAAGAATACTTAAAGAACAAATAGTAATCACATATTAACTAGTGGACCAGACCTCAATAGCAGATATACGATCAGATGAAACTTCCCCTGGGAAAAAGTCGAGGGCTTTGCCATTCTTCTCAAGAGATATGCGGTCTGTGATACCGGTTTCGGATGTAACCCTATTTATAGTAAGAGAATTTTTCATTTGAGATCTTGACATCAAGAAACAAAATGAAAAGAAAGTGTCAAGGACGTAGGCTTCTTACAAGCTGTCAACCATTTTTTGCACCATCATGTCATGGATGTTCTTGATGAACTGCAACCAAAACAGGATACAAGAAGTGTGTAACTATAAGGGAAGATGAATCAAAAACATCAATGATGTAAACATATCAGACTTTGCTTTTTACCTCTAAAGCCATTAATGCATCCTCCATTGCCCGTTGTTTAGCGCGAAAATCTGCTCGCCTTAAATCAGCCTGTAATGTCAGTGTAATCTCTCATCCTCTCGCATAGTGATTATACTTTATGGTCACACTCACACATAAATTTTCAAAAGCATACCTCTAAGGCACCATCGCTCCAATGCTTATCAGCGGCGTTTTTCAACTTAGACTGAGCTATGTTTTTCAGTATCTATGAAAATAAACCAAAACTAAGAAACATAGCAAGAAGAAATGGTCGACATAAATGTGAATGTATAAATGAGAGGATAAACATACAGTAGCAATATGATGAAGACGCTCGGCTTTTCTCTTGACATCACGGTCTATTTTCTCTGTATCTTCTCTTGCTCGAGCTACATAATAAACCCACAAGCCAAAGATGATGTTAGTGTGAAAGAGAACTAAATCTTGTCCATGGAAGTGTGGGAAATGAGAAATTGAGCTTTGAGCTATTTTACAAATACACAATTCACTTAAGTAACTACCAAAGTGTGTCATTATCTCACATATATAGACTCAAAAGCCAAAGATAATGTTAGTGTGAAAGAGAACCAGAGCTTTGAGCTACTTTACAATTATACAATCCACTTAAATAACTACCAAACTATGTCATTGTCTCACATATAGACTCATCCTACAAAAAACATCCTATATGAATAAAATGCCTCAGAATGTTCCCTTGAACTAATATAGAATTATAGAACTAACCATCCAATTTAAGGAACCCCGAGCCAAGAATCGCAACGTCCTGACGTGCACGAGCATCAAGTCTCATAATGCCACTGAAAAGAATCAGAACACAAATCTCACACACATCAGGGACCTTCATGACAAGTAATGAATGATTATCAGATGATGTAAACATTGGATAATGAGAAGGTACCGAGATAGAAGAACAAAGTCACTACGAGCTCTTTCATTCACAAACTTAGCATCATTAGAGACATATTCCACCAAGACCTGGCTTGAATTGCTTTTTCTCCTTTGAATCACTTGCTTCTCGCCTTCTTTCTGTACAATTTGAGACCTGAAACATCACCAAGAAACTTATCACCTAAACAAAAACGGGAACAGCTTGATTTATGGAAGCTAAGAACCAAAAGGGCTAAACTTACTTGGGTAAATCAAGACAATCCTCGTGGGGTTTAGTTTCCGTGTCTTGAGACTTTCCAAGAAAACACAATGTAGAAGATCTCCTAGAAGTAACAAAAGTGACAGGCTTTGTGCAACAAAGACCTTGTAAATCTTCAGCAGACGAGCCTTTCTTTGGGGAAAACGCAAGTAAAACTCTCTGAGATCTTGAGGTATTAACCCTCTTCGCTAAAATGGGACTACTGGGAACAACTTTGCTCACGTTAAGAGCCATTGGGATAAATAAACCTATAAAATTATCTGCATAGTTAGACCATACAAACCTTGTTAATGGAGAACGAATCTAGTAAATCATAATTGATTCATATAAAGGCATCAATTTTTTTAAAAAAATCTAAGTATCCATGGGAGAAGACAGAGAAACAAAAGTAAGCAGCTTGATATCAATATCATTCAAGAGAGACAAAAAGAAACAATTTTTTCTCAAAGAATCAGTTTTATGTAATTCATTAGAGAAGACAGAGGTAAACAACGAAAGAAGCTTGAGACCAATTCGATTCTAGGTTGAAGAAAGAAAAGACAAATTACCACTTAAATCAAACTCAAATTCCTGATCCTAAAGCAAATTTAGGACAAACCCATTGAGAAAAGTTCTATCATTTACGATAGAAATAGAGAATTTTGAAGCACATCGAGAGAGAGAGAGAGAGAGGGAGAGAGAGAGAGAGACTAACCTTGTGAAATAGATAAAGAAGATGAGGAGAAGTGGAAAAGAGAATATCCAAATGAGAAAAAATTGGGATAGGAGAAGAAGAAGGAAAGAAGACAAAGAGAGAGAATTATAAGATGGGAAGTGAAAATTGCAACCACAAGGGTTACTTGTGGCCCAGTGTGAGCCAACCATACCGTAGGTTTCTATTTCCATTCTCTGGTCTTTGCTAGTGTGGGTCCCATGTTTTTCTTATTTTTAATTTTTTGGACCTACGCTGATAGGTTTGGATACACCGAATTACTCGGTTAGGCGGATTTCATTTCAGGAAAGTAAATGTAAAGGCTAAGTTTTGACCAATGTTCGGTACATTTTAACCAATGTTCGGTACATTTTCAACAGTAGCTGTAACTGTACACAACGTTCCATTAATATACTAACATAAGCTTACTAACTTAGTCATATGCTAACATACACCCAGAGTAAAAAAATACTCAATGATACACTTACCTTCAACTTTCGTTGATTGACATTTGCACTAAGCAAATCTCTTCTTGGAATAATCTAACCGCATAACATCGGACATCACTCAAAGTATACTGTCTGCTTCTCCAACAACGAGCTGCATTAAACGTAAAAACGATAATGCTTTAAGTTATTAAGAATTCAGTAAAAACACAAAAGATAATGCCTAATCAAACTTCAAGACTATTTTGCTTCAACTGTAATACATTAATAACAGGGCATTTGGGTGCGAGAGGTCTCGAGTTCGATTCTCGGAATGCCCCCCACGATCTTTTTTGATATTTTGTTTGATAAAAGCAAGCTCAGCATTGTTAGATAATAAAGTATTTCTACACTTAGACTGTGCACAGACCACGTTCAACAAGTCAAACAACATGTATTCCCCTTAAATTGCAGAAAGGTCATATGATCACAACGCATTCTCAAGACTTACACTACATAAATTTCCAAAATCCACAAAAAGAACAAGATCTGAATAATACCTTTGCTCTTGCATCAGATGAATCAGATAATTTAGATTTGTTGATTTCCAATATCAGATTCAGCCACAAAACATGATGAAAGGCTTTCCAAGAATGAGCTGCACCAATTACCAAAAAAAAGGCTCGTTTACAAACTTACAGCTAAAGATCAACAGAAATCACAGCTCTCTTTGAAGAAAGAATAAACGAGCATACAAAGGCTTTGACAGAATCACTTCTTCATTCGGTCGAGAGATCTCGAGTTCAATTTTCAGAATTCCTCATGAAGAAATGTTTATATATTATAGAAAACCAAATGTACAATTATGAGTAGGAGCTATGATTCTTGAACTGTTTACATGTAACCTCAGTAACCAAGATCTAATAACCAGAGTGTTTCAGATTCAAATCCAAAGGCCAAAACAGCAAGAAAATCAACTGAGATATTGGATCTGGTGGCATGAAACCACATCTGCGCATCTAAGAGATCATTGTGACTGATATTTTATAAAATCAACTACAAAAACAAGATCCATATCATACCCTTGTTTTCAGATGTGTTGGATTAGAATCAGAGGACTAACCAGATATGATAAACTGAGAGTTTAAGTGGGCATTTTCAAAGAAACAATGAAATGCTAACAGCATAGGCGATTTAACTGAGTTTAAAGAGCAACAGGGTATTTGGTCTAGTGGTATGATTCTCGCTTAGGGTGCGAGAGGTCCCAAGTTCAATTCTCGGAATGCCCCCAATTGACTTTTTGAAAGAATGTGTTCTATATTTGACTTAAAGTAATACTTATGTCTTTTGACCAAGCATTGGTCTAGACTCTAGTGGTAAGACTTCTCACAGGTCATAAACAAATATTGATTAGCATGCATTTCACTTAAAATTTTCACCAAAAAAATGGGAGATGCCATGTTTGATAGTGAATACTTACAGTAATCGCGTGTTGCCAGATTCATCAAGAGTGAAAACCACATGCTGCCAAGCTCATCGATAATAAACTACTCAAGCAGGGAAAGTCTTTTCGCTGAAAAGCAAAGAGGCTCATGTATTATCTTTTGGTGCTGAATAGGCTTTAGTTGAGTCACATCAGCAACCGGGCATTTGGTCTAGTGGTATGATTTGTAAACACGGGTATAGCTTTGGTAAAACTGTGTAAACCGGATGATTGTATTCACATTGGAAATATATGCATGTATATCTAAGTAAGATACATATCTACGATCTCAATATATCAATATAACGACATCCTTATCCTTAGGTTCTAGAACCCTCCAGAACCTCTCTAACACTCCCCTTCAAGTTGGTGAGTGTAAATTGTAAACTCCCAACTTGGATAATAAGTAATCGAAACTCGATTTCCCCAATGCCTTTGTCATGACGTCTGCCAATTGTTCTGTAGTACGAACGTGTTTTGTTGCAATGAGGCCATCTCTCACAGCATCACGTACGCTGTGACAATCCGCTTCGATGTGTTTAGTCTGCTCATGGAATACCGGATTGGCAGCAATGTGAATGGCTGACTGGCTGTCACAGAACATATCCATTGGCCCATTTCACGGAAGACCAAGATCAGCGAGCAAGTGTTTCATCCATTTAAGTTCACGTAATGCTTCAGACATTGCTCTGTACTCTGCTTCAGCTGAGGAATGAGACACCGTGTCTTGCTTCTTGGTCTTCCAGGAAACCGGTGAACCACCCAAATAAACAACAAACGTGGAAAGCGAACGGCGTGTGCGGGGACAAGAAGCCCAATCTGAATCGCAGTACACCTGGACTCGGAGATTGCCATCCGCTCGTAACATTATACCTTGACCACAAGTTCCCTTAATGTATCGGACAACTCGAACTGCTGCCTCCCAATGTGCATCGCGAGGCTCATGCATTACTTGCGACAAGACGTGAATGGCGTAAGACAAGTCTGGGCGTGTGATGGTTAAGTAGACTAACCGGCCAACAAGACGTCGAAATTTGGGTGGATCCTTATACAAAGGACCCTGATCGGCGAGTAATTTATGGTTTTGTTCCACCAGAATAGACAGAGGCTGACACCCGAGCAACTCCATCTCTGTGACAATGTCGAGGGCATACTTTCGTTGCGAGAGAAAGAAGCCTAACGGACCCCGCGCAACCTCTATGCCCAGAAAATACTTAGCTTTCCCGAGGTCCTTCATTCGAAAACATTCACTTAGATATCTCTTAAACTTCTCGAGCATTGGTAGATTATTGCAGCAGAGAATCAAGTCATCGACGTACACCAGAACACGCAATTGAATCTCCCCCTTAATGTATGTGAACATAGAATAATCAGCGTAAGACTGAACAAACCCGAATTGGAGAAGAGCTTTTGATAACTTCGAGAACCAGCATCGCGGGGCTTGTTTCAAACCGTAGAGAGATTTGCGAAGCCGGCACACTTTATTTGAATCACTCGTTTTGAAACCAGGAGGAAGTTTCATGTACACTTCTTCCTCCAAATCGCCGTGAAGAAAGGCGTTTTGAACATCCATCTGATGAACCTCCCATCCTTTTGCTGCAGCCACCTTGAAAACTGTTCGAATAGTTGTGTGTTTAACCACCGGTGCAAAGGTTTCATCATAGTCTTCACCCTCCACTTGACGATTCCCACAGACAACAAGACGAGATTTATGTCTGTCAATGGTGCCGTCTGCATTATACTTAAGTTTGTAGATCCATTTACAAGCAAGCGCTGTTTTTCCTGGCGGCAAGTCTGCTAAATCCCACGTTCCAGCTAGCTCAAGGGAACCAACCTCACTTGACATGGAGTTACGCCATACTTCATCCAAAATCGCCTCTTTGTAAGATTTTGGCTCAACTCCTGCTGTAACAGCAGCTAAGAAGGCACGATAGTTGGAAGAGAAGATGTCATCACTAAGGTAGTCTTGAATGGGATAAAAGTTATTACCTTGGACCGTAGGAGAGACCGTAGATGGAGCAATGGGAACGAGATGCTTATCTTTATAACACTGAGCATTGTATGTGACTAAGTCTTTCAATTTCACAGATCTGACTTTGTCACGATGACCTCTGCCAAGGGTCGAATCCTCTGTTTCAAGTTCTGTTTCTGCAACGATAACTTCTGGGCCAGAGGAAGGGATTTCTGCAGCAACCACCGGAGGAGAAACGGTGGGGACTGCAGCGCCGGCCGGCACCGCAGAAGGGGAATCATCGCAACCTGCATTCCCTGACGTCTGATTACTCCCCCTGTTGTCCATATAACTGAATAACGGGTCGCCAAAATCTAGTTGAGGCAAAACAACAGGAGCTGTTTGTGATTCAACAACGTGAACTGCAGATGACTGGTATGGAAATTTTGTTTCATCAAAAACGACATCGCGGGAGACAAAGAACTCATTGCTTTCTATGTCGTATAGACGCCAGCCTTTTTTTCCAAACGGATAACCCACAAACACACACTTGCGGCTTCTCTCAGCAAATTTATCCTTTGTGCGTGATTGCCGATGAGCGTAACACAAAGAGCCAAATGTCTTAATAGATGCATACGATGGTGGCTCACCAAATAACATCGCATACGGAGTCTGACCTTTCAACACTGTTGAGGGTGTACGATTGATCACATGAGCTGCAGCCAGAACACTCTCGCCCCAAAACTTAACAGGAAGATTTGCCTGAAATAGGAGAGAGCGAGACACATTAAGCAGATGTCTGTGCTTTCGTTCTACTTGGCCGTTTTGTTGGGGTGTGTAAACACACGAAGTTTGATGGAAGATGCCATTGACATTGAAGAAGTTGGACAAGGCGAGAAACTCTGCACCGTTGTCGCTTCGTACTACTTTTACGTGTTTCCCAAATTGTCGATCCGTCATAGCACAGAAAGATGGTATAACAGTCTTGACTTCACTTTTTTCAAGTAGTAAATATATCCAGACAGCAGGAGAGTAATCGTCCACTATCGTTA